GATAGGGAGAACAATGTGAAACAAAACTCAAAATCATTTGGGGGGGGGGGCAGGGAAGATGGTTGGGACCAGGTTTGCTGGTCCAATAGAGCCTGGTGGCTGCCCTTCAGGTCTGGAATTGAACCCATACCTGTGGTTTCCAGCCAAACAAAAGACAGGCATATGCGTTGAACATTTACCTCAAGTAGAACACTCCTTGGAGAGAACAATCATGGGAGAAAGAAGGGCTTCTTATGCACAGGGAGACAGCTCAGGGAGCAGGAGTGCATGGAGGGATGGACACAGGGAAGAGGTAAGTATGGGGAGGAAGTGGAAGGGGAGCTATTGCATTGTGATAAACTGTGGTCAATGTCATGAGACAAAGTATATATGAACTGCTGTATGGAAAGTAAATTTGCTCTCTAAACATTCACCCAAATCACAATTTAAAAAAAAAAATTACACTGGGGAAAAACAAAGATAAAGCAGGAGAAACAAGGGAAAGAACTCTGGTAGTGTAGTACCTAAAGGCACTTGACTGCTAACCAGAAGGTTGGTGGTTCAAACCCACCAGCCACTCCTCAGAAGGAAGATGGGGCAATCTACTTCCCTAGTGATAATGCGTCGGAAACCCAAGGAGGGGTCGCTGTGTGTCGCATCCAACTCCACAGCACATAACAACAACAATCTTCAACTATTTGTGAGACAGATCAAAGAAAACACAGAGAAAACCCTAGAACAATTTCAAAAGACAATACAAGAACTAAATGAAAAATTAGAAATGATACAAAATCTGCACACAGAAATCCAGAAGATTAATACTAAATTTTCAGAAATAGATAAGACATTGAATGTGCAAAGGAGCAGAATTGAATCAATGGAAGACAAAATTAGGAAGATTGAAGGCTGATACTTGAACACGTCTTTGGAAAGGGATCAGTCAGAAAACGGATCAAAACAAAATGAAGAAAGCCTAAGTTTTATGTGGGATAGCATCAAAAGGAATAACCTACGTGTCATCAGAATTTCAGAACAGGAAGAGACAGAGAAAATTGTCGAAGATTTGTTGGAAGAGAATTTTCCTGGTATGATGAAAGATGAGAATATATCCATTCAGGAAGTCCAACAAACCCCAAACAGGATAGACCCCAAAAGAAAATCATCCAGACATATCATCAGCAAACTTAACAAAACAGAAGACAAATAAAGAATCATGAGAGCAGCATGGGAAAAGTGAAAAGTTACCTACAAGGGCCAACTAATAAGACTAAGCTCAGATTTCTCAACAGAAACCATGCAAGCAAGAAGACAAGGGGATGGTATATATAAAATCCTGAAAGAGAACATTTTCTAACCAAGAATTAGGTACCCAGCAAAATTGTCCCTCAAATATGATGGTGAAATTAGGACATTTCCAGATAAGCAGAAATTAAGAGAGTTTGTTAAAACCAGACCAACCTTACAA